AGGAAAGTTTCCAAGGTAACAGTCTCACAGACAGACAAACAAATGCAGTCCTAGGTCTGGCGGTTTTCTGAATATTCTCTGAATATTTACATTATTTATAGTCAGTATTTCGCAACAACAGATAACGGGGAAAAAGTCGAAATAAAAGGTTCGCAAACAGTTTCTTGCGCTGATATCACTCGTTGACATATTTGTATTTTATAATTTTTTTTTCTCTTTATAAATTTATATATTTTCATTTATATATTTTTACGGGAAATCCTGGGCTTAATATTGCGCGGACGCACGTGATGCAAAAACGACGTCGGAGCCGAGAGAATCCAAAAAGTCAAAACCGATTTAATATACAGCAAATGGATGACTAGTCTACTATGTTTATCTTTATTATTTTAGACAAACAAGGAAGAAAAAGAAAGAAAAAGATTATGTCAAATGGGAAGAACAGAATAGAGTTAAACAGCTGGATATGGTTTATAAAAATAAATAAAAAAAAAAAAACTTTGAAGGATCTTGTTTGTGAACAGCCCAAAGGTGGCAGTGTTGAGACTGCAAGTCTTAAATTAGACTGGCGCTTCACACATTTCAGCAGTCAGTCGCCTGTTTTCCTTTAAATTACATGCTTAGTCTGTCTTCTGAGGGATGTAATTTTAAAAGCTTGAAAGTATTTTTTTTTTTTACTTTTTTTTTACCAGTAAAAAGCCATGTTTTTAGCTGTGGCTCAGGGGGCCCACAGATGTTAAACAGGAAAGTGTTTGGCTGGTGGAAAAAAAAAAAAAAAAAAACAAAAAGGGGCAAAAAAAAGGGAACCGGGGCTGACCCGGGACTGCCACCAAAGCGTACCACGCGGAGCGTACCACACCCTGCATCCTCCTGCCGCTCCACCCAAACAATCTTTTTAAAATCCCCAGCTGCAGATTCTAGGAAATCCTGCTGCTCATTTGGAGATAGATGGAACCGAGCCACAATATCTGCTTAAACTTTTTGAAACGTCGCACTTCGGAGTTGAGCTGACGTCCAAAAAGGATGCCTTCTTCACGTTCTTAGATTTGCGCGTAAAACACGAAACTAAGGAACGAAACCTCTCTTAGATGTCAGTATGTCATGTATAACACCATCCTGAATATATTTCGGTTTTTAGGCCAAAAGACTTTTTTTTAACCGCAGAAACAAAAACAGCCGGAACAGGAAGTTATGACGACGCGGCCAGCGCAACATCTGTCTGCGATGGACGTATTTCAATATATCCGAAAAAGACCCACGAGTTAGCGATAATTTGCATTAAGCAAATTAATATTAATTAATATTAATTTGCTTAATGCAAATTATCGCTAACTCGTGGGTCTTTTTCGGATATATTGAAATACGTCCATCGCAGACAGATGTTGCGCTGGCCGCGTCGTCATAACTTCCTGTTCCGGCTGTTTTTGTTTCTGCGGTTAAAAAAAAGTCTTTTGGCCTAAAAACCGAAATATATTCAGGATGGTGTTATACATGACATACTGACATCTAAGAGAGGTTCGTTCCTCAGTCTCGTGTTTTACGCGCAAATCTAAGAACGTGAAGCCTGGGCTATTTTATTATTTGTCCTGTGTAGTTTTTTTTTAATCTACTAAAAAAAAAAAAAAAAAAAAAAAAAAAAAACCTAAAAAAATTTTTTAAAACGAGAATGCAGAACAGCAAGTGAAGCTATTGTCCCAACACGAGCTTAACACGGACCGGAAAATTCCGAAAACAATTTAACACAAGACAAAATGTTGGTTTTTTTATTGTCACCGCTTAATGCGGAGAGAACGAGATCAAACACGTCAGATCGGAAACAAACGTTACAGCCAATATTTGGATATGAAAAACAATGTTCTCCAAACCAGGAGTTTTTCCTGCCGTGGACAAGAGCCAGTCATACTGTAACTTTTACTAATCTGAGCAGTACTCGCTGTACTGTACTATATGTAGAAACTACTTCAATGCCAAAGAACTTGTCTTACTGCCGAATACACATCACAACTATGTATAGAATATACGCATGGGCAGCCTGTGCCACATTTTGTTGTGTGTATACGTGTCTGTATATATAAAATAACAATAGATCGATAGATAAATAGATAGATAGGTATACAGAACTGTATTAATAAATATATAAATGTAGCCCTATTTAGTAATAAAGGCAATATGTAGTCAGACACTGTGAGATTGCTGCCTTCAGGGAGGGCAGACTGGCTGAACAAATGTGACGTCATTCAATACTGATAAGAATATTTTTGTCGCTATGAAACTTTGTATTTCAAAAGAAAATATATCACTTGTTTACGTAAACCCCCCGATACAGTAGATATTTTGGGGGCCAAAACTAAATCAAACCAAAATGCTTCCAAAACCATTTGTAAGGATTGTTTTTTTTTTTTTTTTTGGTTGTACCAGCAAAATAAATACTTTTAAAAGAATATATTCTGAACCGTCGTCAAGCCTTAAAAGTGTCTTTTGCCACTTTAGCTGATTGTCTAAAAGCATTTTTTTTTTTTTTTTTTTTGGCACATATATACAAACCGACAATTAATAAAGCTATATATTTGTGTAAATACATCCTTTGGAAAAAAAATAAAAAATTACTGACTTGACATTAAGCCCATCACTTTTTTTCCCCAGGTACAGTTGATCACCCTGAAGTTTCCTCATCAGCATTTAGTTGAAATATTGCTGCTCCTTCTGGGTGGGGGGGATCTTGGTGATCAGCAGTTTGAGAGAGTCTCCCGAGGATCTAATCAAATCTCTGCCACTGTAAGGAAAAACAGAAGCAAACATCTGAGACACGAAAGGTGAAATCCAATTTCCACTTAAAATCTGGCAATGACTCTAAGTAATTTCATTTTGGAATATGGAACCCACAATGACTCCAAGTAATTTCATTTTGGAATATGGAACCCTGGACAAAACTGTAATGCTAGCCTCCAGTCACTAGGGGGCATTCAGTGGTTTGTAAAGATAAAAATATACCTGCTAGGTTCTCAATAGTATTTCAATTCGTGGGGGTGTGGGTCGTGAAAACATTTCTAACATGACAGAAAATAATTGAGAACCACTGTTTTAGGTTCTCCGTACGCTAGCGTGTAGCTACAATAGCTAACGCAGACTGGACAGGATTTTGCTATCAGGTTCTCAATAGTATTTCAATTCGTGGGGGCGTGGGTCGTGAAAACATTTCTGGGTGGGGGAGAGGGGGGGGCATGACAGAAAATAATTGAGAACCACTGCTTTAGGTGCTCCGTACGCTAGTGTGTAGCTACAATAGCTAACGCAAAGTGGACAGGATTTTGAGAATTTTGACTCATAGCTAACTTTTTTTTTCCCGTTCTTATCTATCTAACAGTTTGTCAAAAAGTTTATTATCCAGTGTGATGACGGACCTAATACCAAAACAGTATAGGGAACAATACATACATACAGTGCTCCGTACGCTAGTGTGTAGCTACAATAGCTAACGCAAAGTGGACAGGATTTTGAGAATTTTGACTCATAGCTAACTTTTTTTTTCCCGTTCTTATCTATCTAACAGTTTGTCAAAAAGTTTATTATCCAGTGGGAATATATATATTATGCGGAAACTTGGCATGGAAACGTTTTGGAACTTTGTTGATGAAACATGACTATAGGCGAATGAACCAAATGACACCAAGAAACAAGAAGTTAGTAACAAGATATCGAGACATGATTTCTGGAAGAAAAAAAAAAAAAACAGACCTGATGACAAACCTAATACCAAAATAGTATAGGGAACAATACATACATACAGTTTTCGATCTCCTCTTTTTTTTTTTTTTTTTTTTTAAGGAGGACAGTTCACCGTCTGGTTTTTGTTGAGTTTTTTGTTGAGTATTTAAAAATACGTACATGTTGTACTCCATCCCGACCAAACTGATGCCGTTCACAGCCAGGATGCAATCTCCCGTGTCCAGTTTGTGACACTGATCGGCAGGAGAGTGCGGAACGACGGACTTCACGTAGATGCCGCTCATTCTCAGTGGTGTTTTCTGTTAATCAAGCGTATTCACACATTCATTTTATTATAGGGGGAGAAAAAAAAAAAAAAAAAAAAAAACAACACCGACAGCATGGGAACTTAACGAAGCCATGTGTTAGCCGTTTTTTTTTTTACTGTGGGTTTTTATGTGTCTGCACTTTTTTACTTTTTTAATGTGGCTAGCTTCTGGTGTCTGAGCTCAGCTTTTCAATTCGAACTGAATTTAGTGGAGATCCTTCGACAGTAGTATTGAAAAAAAAAAAAAAGCTCAAACTTTTTATAAAACAGCATCGAGCGTGGAAAATATGACACGCCGGACGCAGAACATGACCACGTACCATTCCGTCCACCACCACCAGACCGAGACCACGAGGTCCTCTGTGAAGCTCCACTGTGAAAACCTCCTCTGCGTTTCCGTCCTCCTCCTCTTTTTCCTCCGCATTTTCTGTCCTTTCCTCAGCGCCGTTACTGACTGCACGGAGAAACACAATCGTGTCAGGGGGGGCAAACTTTTTCTTCAGTTTTGTTCAGGAATTGTAATTTTTTTTTTTTTGGGAAAAAACCACTGATGTCATTGATGACATCAGAAGACTGTTACCCTAATGATTGTGATGGGACTTGGAAGACTCAACCCATTTTTACAGGGCAGAAATTAGGAATTTTTTTTTTTTTTTTTAAAAAGAAGCAGCAACATCCCGAGACGATAAACATTCAAAAATGACCAAACATCTAAAGTTACCTCTTCTCTCTTGGGGGGCGCGCTCCTGCAGGTCTGCTTCCACCGTCGCCGGTTCCAGTCCCTGGGGTGTGTTTGGTGGTGTGAGCAAGCAGGACGGGTCCAGAGCCAGGCTCTTGTGGTAGCCCACGTCGCCCTGTCCTGGCAGTGCATTTTGCAACTCTAGATTCTTTAGCTTCTGCGTCAGGACTGCCTCGCAGCTGCTGAGGTCACGGTAACATCCCTGAGGACGCGCTGACGCTGCGGGTCCCGTCGTGGAGTCCTGCTCGGCCTCCGGGGAGGTTTCTGGGTCAGGTGTGTCTAGATGAACCTGATCTTGGATGCCGCCGACGAAAGGTGACGTCCTAAGGTGACTGTCTGAGGTTGTCATGTTTAGTGTCTGAGATTCGCATGGGGGGGAAAAAAAAAGTACAAAGTCGTATCAATGTAAAAAAAAAAAACAAAAGAGTCTTTTTCTTGCGCTGTCCATCTCCGGAGGGTTTAAAAAGGAATCATACCTCTTCTCCTGCGTCTTGAGTTTTACCACGGGGCAGTCGGTGGATGAACTCCTGCAAACGAGTGAACTGTTCAAACAGCCCGGGCTCCGCAACGGCTTTCCCGAGCTCCAAGTGAAAGGCGCTAGAGGGTAGGATGAGCGGCGGGTGGTTGTCAAAGCTCTGCAGGATTTCGTCTGCCGGGAGACAAACGGGCCCGTTATTAACGGCTACGATCTGCTACGAAAGAATGGAAACCTTGCTATACGGTACTCCTGAGGAAACGAAGTCCGAAGCCTAAATTGAGGACCAGGGGTTGCCAGATCAGATATAAACAACTATCCTAATGTTGGTAAATGATCACATTTTGATCCAAACCATTGTATATACGACAAAAAAACAAAAGTTCATGAAATGTTCATGACCCAAACCATTGTATATACGACAAAAAAAAAACAAAAAAAAAAAAAAAAAAAATCCAGGAAAGGTTCAGAAAATTGAAACTCCAATAAATGTTTGTGTTAAAAAAGCCAAATTGTATTGACCATGATTGATTTATGAAAGCACTAAAAGGGTAAAACATCCAAGGGGGTGAATACAGTAAACCCTTGTTTTTCGCGGGGGTTACGTTCCAAAAAGAACCCGTGATAGGCAAAATCCGTGAAGTAGAAATCTTTATTTTTTTTACAATTAAATACTCAGAAAAAGAAGAGAAAGAACGAACAAACCATTTTACAGTCTCAACCATTTGTTTCACAAATAAAGTAAAATAAAAGTACTTTAGAAACGTTTCAACAAATAACTTCTGTAATGTACTGTCAAATAATAATTTTAATCATCAACGTGAACAGAAGGCTTCAAATTGCGGAGATTAGCACCGCCCACCGTGAACGGGAGAAAATTAAAAATGATTATGAAAAAAATACAAATTACCTGGTCTTGTTGCGGGCAGTTGCAACCCTTTTTGAATCCTTATTAAAACTTATTGCTGCTGTCTTCCTTATGTTTTTTTCTTCCTTCTTTATGGAACGAACGGAAGATTCATTAATTCCATAATGCCGACCTACAGCCGCATAGCTTTTACCTTCATTTAGCATGTCCAATAGTTTTACTTTATCACCGATAGACAGCATCTTCCGCTGCCTTTTGGTCCCTACCGCAGGTACCTTTGCCGGTCCAGAGCGTTTTGTCGACATTATGGGGTTTGATAAACTCGAAATTGCAAGAGAATTTGCACGTACGTAATGTCAATTTGGCGAGCTGTTTTACGTACAGCGTACATATTAAACCGCAACGTTATTGGCGCACAGGTAGAGAAGAAGCGGAGTGACTTTTTAGCCAATCAGAACGCAGAACACAATGCACGATGCAAATCCGTGAAGTAGCGAAACCGTGAAAAGTAAACCGACGTTATAGCAAGGGATCACTGTATATGAATAACTGTTAGCCTCAAAGCGTAATAGCTCAAGTCATATGTTAAGAGTAACAGGAAGTTTGAGTAGAAGTTGTGTTATAACACAAACGCTACAGTATAAGGCTGACCACCCACCTGTCCTGACGGCATCCTGAGAGTCTTCCGGCGATGGGATCCAGCCGGTGGGACAGGCTTTGTTGCAGTTATATTCTCTCAGCATGTGATGAAGCTGGGCTGGGTTAAGAGCAGCAAACTCAGCCCTAAGAGAAGACCAGGACGCCTGGATATAAAAAAAAAAAAAAAAACAAAACCTCAGTGAAGCCTACGGATTTTATCAATACAATGTCTCTCTGAATGATTTTTAATGATTTTTTTTAAAGTGCGGTTTCGTTTTTTTAAATACACATTTGAACCATCTTTGTATGACTTTTTTTTGTCTTTTTGCATATACAATATATTAAAGGATATTTGACTCAAACTTGTCCACAAATACGCAGTCCTTTCAAATGAAATCATTTAATAGAATTATTAATGTCCTTTTGTTTCTATTCTTCTGGTAACTCCGCATTTTTAAGGTGCTTTTTTTTTTTTTTTAAATGTTTCACCTTTTGTCTCCATATAGAAAGATTCAGGGATTAGCCTTTAGATCACCCTTAAAAAAAAAAAATTAAAAAAAAAGGATAAATATAAAAATAAAAATAAATTAAATAAATAAAAATAAATAAATAAATAAATTTTAAATATAAAGATAAAAATAAAGGGATAAATAAATATAAAGGGATCACCCTTTAGTTTCAGGGGTGTCGAAATTCATTTCCACCAGGGGGCCACATCAGCAATACCCTTCCCCCTGAAGGGCCGGTTGTAATTGTCCCCAACGCCCGGGGCGCGGACCAGTACCGGCCCATTGGTCATTTGGTACCAGGCTTCAGTGGGACTTAATTTTTACTAATTTACTTCATTCAGAAAGTCCAGTCATATCCATTTACACTTTCTTTATTTAAAGATAATCAATTAAAAAAAATATTGTTGGTCCAATTGTTGGTCCAATGTCCAATGTGCAAATCTGCACTTGGATAAAGTCTAAAAGTAAAAAAATTAGGTTCTGGATCCAAGCTGTCTGTCAAATCATTTGATCATTTTGTACATGCTATTTACTCACTTTCACACCCTTTGGTGTGGGATGGGGGATGGAGGGGCAGATGTATTTTTCATATATGCATTCCATATAAAAATAAAAAGCAACAGCTTCCCTCTCGGTTTGTTTGATCCAAATTATATTGTCATGTTGTCTCATTATCTTCGTTCACAAAAGCCCTGGGAGGGAAATCCTTACTTTGTCTCTGCTCTAAAATATAGAAGGGTGTTTTCTTCCCATGAAATAGGCTCTAAAGATAGATGACGTTTGGGACAAGTAACTGGAGGATGAGAATTATGGGTGGGATTGACAGGGAGTATCATGGGAATATGACTCTGGGTGACATCTCTTGGGTTTGTGCCAAAACTTGTACCGATGACGTGAATATTGCTGACTTGACAAGTCCGGGTTCCTTTTGTTTTTCCTGAAATTATTTTCCAGGTTTTTTTTTTTTCTGACACTACAGATACTAGTTGCTACCAGTTGCTAGTTTCATCTCTAGGTATTAGGTACCGAACAGGATCTGAAAAATTGCTAAATCTAGTCACAAAGGCAACTCAGGCAACTGGAAATGTCTGGGTTACAGAACTAAGCTCTAAGCGGAAATGCAAATTTGATTGGCTGGTAGCGCCACCTGGGGGCGCTGGCGACCACTGCTCCCGATGAGCAGTCCCCGATGAGCATGTTTTTGGGCTACTAGGAGAAAACCATGGGGATCTGGGATCGAACTTAGGAACCAGTGATCTCGCCGTCAAAGGCAAGTCTTCTACCAACATTTACCTCTGTGTAAATAGTTTTCTTTCTTTGACACAACAGAAGACTGAAGGGGGGGGGAAGTTTTCCGACCTGCAGGAGGGTTTCTTTGGGCGTGGCCAGCAGATTGACAGCTGCTGAGAGCGTCTGGAAGTGTTTGGTAGACAGGTCACCCAGTCCGATGCTCTGGATCCAGTCCATCAGAAGATCCAGGTTGGCCCGGATCTGAACACCTCGGGACCAGTGGTAAAAGCCAGCAACAGATCCTAAGGAGTGACTTCCATTTAGTAAACCCATTTAGGAATGATTGGGGAATTTTTATATAATTGATAGATCGCACTAAATGCATGTGTATAATCAGAACGGTATAGGTTTCCTGTTCGAGGCCTTCGAGTGATCTCACCTCGGTCCATGAGGGCATTGAAGAGGGAGGCATTGATGAAGAAGAACAGGTAGGCAAAGAGCTGCAGCGAAATGTCAGCGTGCACCTGGAACGAAGTGAGAAGTCCCAGCGCCTCCTTCAGTACTTCCAGTACACGGCTCAGTCCAGTGGGCACTCGCAACTGACCATCCTCGGAAAATGGGTTTTCATCCAGCAGACCAGAGAGTGCCGCGTACATACTCTGTGGAGACAAAGTGGAGTGGGTTCACATCTGTATCGGAAATATATACAAGAAAATACTATTATACAGTATGCAGGTACTATAAAAATACTTAGAGTGGGAGCTAACATTTTAAGACACTTAAATACTTCTTTTTGCTAAAGAAAAATTTCAAGGGCTTTTACAGTAACATCAAATGGCATCTAGATATCGTACGTTGACTATTTTTGGAGCTAGTTAGCGCTTATTTTACCACTACCTTTTAGCTAACCATTAGCTAACACTAGGCTAATCTATAACAATGCATTCAATTTATAGTTTTTTTTTTTCTTTAGCTTTTTGACATCCTTTGCCAATAATTTAATCTGTATTTATTTCTTCTTTATTTTCTTCATTTTAGCTATTTTTGCTATTTATTTTGCCAGCTATGTCCAATTGTAGCTAATCCTACCACTGGAATACCAACAATTCTGCATTAAATCCATAACAACAACTTTAGCGATTAGTGACATTGAAAAATTAATCACAAAAAGATGTGGTTTTGAAATGTTATCGACACAAATTAAATGACATAAGAGGTTGATTTTGGCAGCGAATTGTTGTTAGTTTGGTCAAAATAACAACGAGGAACATTACAAGGTGGAAACGGAGAAGATAATGCACTTGTCTGTGTTCATGATCTGTCGTCAAAGGTTTATAAATATGCACATCCTACATGAAATGAGAAATGCAAAAAAAAAAAGTCTGTTGGGCGTGACCCACCCGATGTTTTCTTATACAGGAAACAGATGGTCGCTCCCAAATTTGTGACTCCGTGACACTTTGGTTTAAAAGTGATTTAAGGCATAAAAAGAAAAAACTAAATGTGGACCAGAGCCTGGCAGCCCAAAGATTTAACTTTTTTAATTTTTTATGATCCTTCAATAACATCTTAATACCATAATTTTAAAACTAAATGCAGCATTAGTCACATCAATTTTACAATTTTTGTACGGTAATGGCTGTTAATTTACACATCCATGTTAACGGTCTATATATATATATAAAAAAAAAAAAAAAAAATCACATGATGGTTTTCACTAAATCAAGTCTTGTAGTTTTATGATTTATTCAACAACAATTTGGAGACTCTAACTTAAAACAATATTTACTCTGTGTGAGAGCCGGTCAGTGGAACAAAGCCGGACAATCACAATCTCACAGGCTTTTCCTGAGTTCCTGAGTCTGATTACATTTTCTGCTTTAAAAAAAAAAAAAAAAAAAAAAAAAAAAATGTGGGAAAGTTTTTTTTTTTTTTAAAAAAAAAAAAAAAAATTTTTGCTTGGCACGTTTCAGAAACTCTTAACCCAACAACCCAAAATAGTTCTAATTCTGTTTAGTTCATATTGCATTTAAATAAGATACGACTTTATTGATCAGGATGTACAGCTGCAGGATAGAAACATAGTTAAAACAAGGCATTCAAAATGTTAAGTTAGAAAAAAAGAAAATAGTGCAGAAACATAGTCTGACTGCATTCCGGTGGAAAAAAAAAAAGTGTCACTGTGTTGCACTATTTATTATTTATGTTTTGTGACACAAACTAACATACATTGATTTTTAAATAAGTCTCACCAAATGAGACTTGGTGATGTGTGAACTCCTCATCAATCCACTACAGTTCTTAATCTGAGGGACATTACAGGAAATTAAGATGTTACATAGGTCTTTAGAACCTGAGCTAAAGAATGCCAAATGATTGCATAAGAGCGCTATAAAAATATTCTACTAGCCTGGGAAAATGGCGTTGATTAGTAGCGTCAGTACCTAAATGTCAAAAGCAATTTTTAAACCTGATGTGTCCAATTAAACAGGTATCTCCAAAAATTATGAAATTAATCTCAGAATCAAGTTGCTACTTGCTAACGAGTTGAGGATAGTGTTGCTGTATGTATAATGAAAAAAAAAAAAATTTAAACATGCAGGGTAAATAGAACTGAGACAAAGACAGTTCAGTGATTGAGCGAAGGGGCAAGCAGACGTATGCATGTGGATGTGATGGCTGACCTTCGTTAGGTAGTAGACGGACTGCTGGAAGGTAAACAAGAGCACTTCCTCCAGTACTGTCATGGCTTCCTCACAGGTTGCCTGCGTGGACGACATGTCATTGTCCGACAGACCTGTTTAAATAAACAAACCACGGTTTAAAGAGTAAACCGACACAGAGCGCCGATCTCTAACATCTGTTAAGCAGTTTAACGTTAACAACCACCTCCTTTGTCTCCCTCAGGCCTACAGCGCAGAAGCTGAGGCACCTCGTGCTGAATGAAGTGCAACAGTTCAATGGAGTTGGCCATCCACAGTACCAGAACCAGCAGACCTGGGATGAGCTCCGGTGTAGCATGTAGCTGGAGGTCATCAGGCTCCTTGTCTTTTGAGGTCCTGGTATAAAGAGAAAAGAAATAAACCGTGAGGTAAGGTTGAGATTAGGGCTTGTCAAAATGCAGGAAAAATCTACAAACTTTCTGTTTACACCACACAAATAAAGTCCAAACTCACATAAATACCTATGTCACCCACCTACGCTAACCAGAGGTAGAAAAAGTACTACAAAAATGTATCTGTACTTTGCTTAAAATCTACTCGAGTAAAAGTAAACAAAAGTAATTTAAAATGTACTTTAAGTAAAAGTTACTCAGTTACTTTAAATTACTTGATGCAAAAAAGGTAATTTCTCCTGTACATAAATACCTATGTCACCCACCACTTTCTGTTTACACCACACAAATAAAGTCCAAACTCCCATAAATACCCATGTCACCCATCTGTACTTTGCTTAAAATCTGCTCGAGAAAAAGTAAACAAAAGTAATTTAAAATTTACTTTAAGTAAAAGTTACTCAGTTACTTTAAATTACTTGATGCAAAAAAAGGTAATTTCTCCTGTACATAAATACCTATGTCACTCACCTACGCTAACCAGAGGTAGAAAAAGTACTACACAAATGTAATTAATTAAAAGTATCTGTACTTTGCTTAAAATCTGCTCGAGAAAAAGTAAACAAAAGTAATTTAAAATTTACTTTAAGTAAAAGTTACTCAGTTACTTTAAATTACTTGATGCAAAAAAAGGTAATTTCTCCTGTACATAAATACCTATGTCACTCACCTACGCTAACCAGAGGTAGAAAAAGTACTACAAAAATGTATCTGTACTTTGCTTAAAATCGACTCAAGTAAAAGTAAACAAAAGTAATTTAAATTGTACTTTAAGTAAAAGTTACTCCGTTACTTTAAATTACTTGATGCAAAAAAGGATGAGTCGTACATCTCATCTGAAACTAGTTGTTTTTAATCGGCAATTCAAACACAAGTGGAATGGGTTGAGAATTCTATGATCCATTTGAACGCGTACACTGCAAATACAAGCCACTAAAGCATACTTTAAGTTTTAACAGCTCAATAACTACCCACATTGCTAAAATCAAACCTCCATTGATAAAATGCAACAACATTTTATGCTACAACTGTAAGACACTAAAAGAAAATTCTATATTTGGATCTGTGACATATCGTTGCGTGTCAGCCTCTTAATTCCCCCCTTGAGGACTATAAAAACAAACACACCCGCATTGTACTTAATTACAGACCCTGGCCTGCCATTGTCAAGTACTTCTGGGGCATTTTGTTTACTCACATATTTTGCTGGACTGCTGCTAGTTTCTTAGTTTCTTCCTATGAGGAAAAAAAGTATACATTTAATTCAAATAAATAATCGAAAACATACCATGTTTACAGATCTGTCCATCAGTTATTCAAAAAAATTCTTAAAAAAAAAGAATGTTCATCTCACCCACGTGATGAGCTGGATCTGATTTGCGATCCGGAGCAGCAGCTGTCTGAAGTGCATCAGCTCGAAGGTCAGGGCCGAGTGCTCGATGCACAGGCTGAGCAGGAACGCTGGTGTCAGCTTTGGATCCGTACCGTAATGGTCCAGCGTGTACAAAATCCTCTCGAGAACTTTGTCCTCCTGCTCAAGTTCATAGCTGAGTGATGCCGTTTTGCTTCCCATAATCCTCCAATGAGGTGGTAAAGACTTCCTGTCCAGTCTTTTTGAGCTGACTGACGAACCATATGTTGATCTGGGGGATGAAGTATCAGACCTGGCACAGAGTGTGGTCATCCAAAGAGGAGTCTGGACAGATCCGGACGTGCCGTTAGGGTCCTTGAACATAAACAGATAGTGTTTTCCTAAACCTACCAAGTCTCCTGGATTGAGTTCCACCTCCTCTTTGAGGAGAACACCATTTCTGGTGACAAGTGCTCCCTTCAGGGGCTTCAGCGTGGTCACCGTTTTTGCGCGCTCATCTGCCGGGTTGTGGGTGCGGGAGTCGAGGCGATGGATGGAGCAGTGCTGAGGTAACACGTCAGGAGCAAAAAGTAGAATATCCACCTTGACCTTCTTCTCATCTTCACTGTTACGGAGTTCTTTCGTGCAGCAGCCAAAGATGGTGGTCATTCCACTCATCAGGTAGATAATAAAGTCCTGCAAAAAAAAAAAAATAAAAATAAAAAATTATATATATTATATATATATATTAGAATCAACTCAAAAGTGTGAACCACTAACCACAAATAAAATGGTAATTATACTCGTGTATTATACAGATAAATCATATCTGCTATTTCATTAATACAATACTTCATATGATAATAAATACTATTATGTAAATATATATATGTATTATATAGTAATCTGACAACTGAGAACTAATTTTTTATAGTAAACTTATACGTTTTATTATTTTAAATTACTTTCAAAATGTTAGATGACAACTTGGAATAGTGTTAGTTATATTCAAGTATTTAGAACAAGATTTTGAATGACAAAAATAAAGAATTTAAAGAATTTTCTTTCTTTAACTTCTTTACCTGTGTCCATTGACAAAGAAATGCTAAGACATTAGCTAAAAAAACCTAATGATGTCTGCTCTAAAAAGAGTATAACTTTAGAGTAAAATAAGTCTCTGAAGTATTAAAAAAAAATTATTAAAGTTATTTTAAAAAATAATAACGTTGTTATACTATCCAATGCATAAAATACTAATAAAGACTTTTGGTGCTGCAGCTTTGATGCAATTGGCTCCAGCGGAAAAAAATAATGTATGGTTTAAAATGTGTAATAGAGTTACAAATATATTACACACCATGTGAGAAAAATCATATTTTATCGTACAGTTATTAAATGCAACACCCCTGCGGATTAGGGTCGTGAACCCCTGGAAGCTGCAATCGGGCTCTGCGTCATTAATTTTTTTAAATTTTATTATTAACTATATATTTTTATTTATATTTATATTTTCAGCGTGAGACATGAATGTATATGTTGCTACAAAATGGACTGACTTTGTTTTCACTTCATGCCAGTAATAAAAGATGACGTACCCAGCTGATGATTTTACCGCAATTTTTTTAACACAATGCAGAGAGAGTACGCAAAAAAAATACACTTTTTTAGGATTATTTTAACACCATCATTTCTGTATTTTTTTACTTAAATATCAGCAAAATTTTTTATTACTTAATAACACCAGCTAAGATTTGTCTGAAAGCCAAAGAAGAGCCACATCTGGCTCACGAGCCACATGTTCTTGACCCCTGCTATAGAGACAATGCCAAGCCAATTGTACTCTCTTATTCCAGAATATTCCAGAATTCTGCAAAATAGGTCTTCATTATTAAAAAGATTTTGCCATAACAATTCTGTAAACGTTGAATGAACGAAAAACTGAATGATTTAACTTAAATTAATAATTAAAATAATACATTTTTATATGGGGGAGGTGAGGTGCAGATAACTAAAAATAAAATCTTGTTACAGCCTGTTGATGTCCCTGTTGAAGCTTGTGCTCCTCTGTGTACCCTGTGGGTTGTACTGTGCCTGCAGAGCTGTGGTTCTTCCATTTATGCCTGCACAGTCAGCAGTGTCCATAAAAAAAACCAAAAAAAAAAACAGTGCAACAAAAGCACTTCCTGTTCCTAGAAACTGGTCAGGCCAAAGCCACAGCCTGAAGCCTGGCTGGCCGGGGTGGGGTGTGTACCTCATATCCACAGGAAGTAGACATGGGTGTGTGTGTGTGGGTGTTAGAGTGGGTCACAGAGAGGATATTTTAAAATTTTAAAAAATAATAATAATACAAAACATACATACACATATACATATATACATATATATACATATATGCACATATACTGTATATATACATATATACATATACGTGTATATATATACGTATACATATATATACATATATATACATACATACATATATATATATACATACACACACATATATATACATATATATATATATATATATATATACATATACATGGGTAATTAATACAGACAGCTGTTGTGATGACTGTGAACTCTTGGAAAACATAATGTGAGACGACCCAAAAAAACAAACAAAAAAAAAAAAACTCTTACGACCCACCTGGGGGTCGCGGCCCAGTCTTTGGGAAACAATGTTTTAGATGACTATAAAAAAAAAAAAAAAAAAAGGTTCAGGAGGTTCAAAACTACAGAAGTATTGCAGTGTTTTAAGAGAACGTTCAGGATGAGAAAAAGTTTCAAAGGTTCAGGAAGAATTCAATTTAGTCTTGTGAAACCTGTTATTTGTGGAAGTTCCTCTTTTAGTGAAGGTTACAACTATTACATTCTAAACTTCCTCATCTGTCATAACGTATAGTTGCTCATTTCCTTACCTGTCTTTGGCTGTAACCCTGTAGCAGGAGAAAGTACGGGAAGTCAAAAGGTGGGTGAATGCAGTACTGTGTGGAGTTGTCCCGGTCGCTCTCTGCTTCCTCCTCCTTCGAGCTGGGCTGCGGCACACCTTTGTCCGCCTGCGACTCTTCTTCAAGTGTGCTTCGTCGAGCCCGGTTGGCCTCTTTCCCCAATGCAAGCAGGTCCATTTCACTCAAACTTCTCCAGATGTTAAGATCTTTCCCACTGTTCTCGTCCATAAATAAAGACGTCACTCTGGAGCAGCTTTTCTGCAGCTTATGAGCTTGAGCGTTGAAACCTGCATTGACAAGAAAATATAAAAATAACAATAACTCCAACCAATGTTTGCTTCCAAAACATAATTGTAACGCATTGTGCTCAAATATGTTTGTTTTACTAGTAAATGTTCATTAATGGTTGCAAATTGTTTTCACTTAAAAAAGGTTGTGAAACTAAAAAAAAAGAATGTCCTTGGTTTAATTCACAGATTTGCTCTCTAAAACTAGCATCACATTCATTAGAAAAATGTCACAACAAATGAATTTAGATAACGCATATTTTATCTTAAAAATGGGCAAAATGAAAGCAGGGTAAAAAAAAAAAAGGGGGGCAAAAATGTAAACAATAAACATAGTATTCTCAAGCTAATGCTAATGTTAGCTAAAATACCATCGAGTTTTATTAGGTTGACGGCAGACAAATGTGACCAAAATAGAAATGTGGAAAATAATTTCCTCAGTATAGGTTGCATAGCAGAAAATGAATGTACCTATTTTTTTATATTATATTATGATATATATTATAAATATATTTTTCTAATTTTACACAATTACTTTGAATCAAACCAATATTTTTGTTCCAGTACATTTGAAT